ACTCTGGCTCTCATTGGTTGGCCAATAATAGGTCCCAGCCCAAGCCCCACTCAGTGGTCACTGTTTGGGTCCAGATGGCTCATAGTGAATGTAAATAGTATTCATTTCTGTTTGTTCAGAAACCCTGAGGGTCTTCCCCCCTCTCCATTTTTTTTTTTTACTAGGTAACAGAGGACATTCACTGCCTGATTTCTTACCTGGCTTTAATCACTGAATGGATGTTACCTCAGTCAAAGTTAGAACTCAAAAAAAGACCTCAACTTAAAAAGGCCGAGGTTTCCCACTGCATCCAGGGCCATCCTCAATGGTCCTGATCAATATCTTGCCACTGGACCCAAATGGCTCTGGAGGAGAAAGTGAGGCCGGTGACTTTGCACAGCCCTCACTCACTTAAATGCAATTCACTTGCAAGTCATGGCATCACCTTCTGATGTCATGGTCCTCTTTGAAAACAAAAGACAAACAAGAAATACCATTTGCTGACTTAATTGTTCATGGTAAGCACACCAGTAGGGGCTCTAAGCAGTAGTACTACAACTTATGATTTCTGAGGATTACTTCAGAAGAAAAGTAGTCAGCTGCCTTCTGGGGCCACCAACCTGTAAGTATGAGTTCCTAGTTGGGCAAGTGGCCACGATGGGGTGCTTGGGTGCTTGTACTTGTACTTTGACCCCAATTTCTCTCCAGTCTCAGAAACACTGTCTCTGGCAATCACTCCTCAGCCCAAGGACACTGTGCCTAGCAATTACTCATGCATGGGCCCCAGCAAGACCCTTATATCTCTCCCTGGTGCAGGTACACAAAGCTGGGTGAGAGAGTGCTGGGCTGCTCAAGCCCCAGCCCTCAGATCACGTCTCTGGAAGCCTCCCAATTCCTTAGTAACTCCCTGCCTTGTGAGAAAGCTTTCCCTTGTTGCAGAGCATTCTCTCATCAAGACAGAGAGACAGGGGGTACCTTGCCCAGCCCAAGGAGTTTTGTCCTTGGCTGGCCAAGGGCTCTTCCTCCTGTCAGACTCCCAAGATCCATACCTCTGTTATCTCCCTCCCTATTTGGTGTACTCCCTGTACTTTCCCATCCATAGGATTACCTAATCGAGATTCCTGGCATTCCTTTCCCATGCCCTTTTCCATATAAACCCTAGCTCCATTCTCAGTCTTTTGCAGCTTCCTTAAGAATGCTTGCCTGCTGAAAAGCATAGCAATAAATCTTTGCCACCTTGACTTAAAGAATGCTTGAGTCTGTGAATTCATTCCAGATGACCCGTCCTGTACTCCAGTCTTTGAGGGGTCTCAACCTCTCAGACTGCAACAGCCACAGATAGGCTGCTACATAAGGGAAAAGTTCCTGATAAAGCTTTAAAAAGTAGGATAGAATAACTTGGCAATGAGCATTATTCCCTTCACTAGAGGTCTTAAAGTGAATAAAAGATAACGGCAGAATTCTGTAGCAGGTTCAATATACCAAAAAGCTCAGATACGAGTTATACTAGGATGGTTTCTGAATTCATTTAAATCCTGAAATTCTAAGATTTTTGGAAATGATCATTCAAGATTCATTCATTCATTATTGAATACCTACTGTAAGTAAGCCAAGGACTATGAGTCCAAAGAGCAGAAAGTCCTCAGAAATTTACAAATATTTTAAATGTTCAAGATCCAGTAAGTTGAACTTCATTTCATGAAATTATTCTGAACAAAAAATATCATTGCACATGTCAAGAAATAAATATTTGCTTTTGGAATTGGAATAAATACCTTCCAAAATCATAGTGCACAAAATGTTAGAGCTTGAAGGGACCTAAGAGTTTACTGATATTAATTTAACACTCTCATGTTATTGATAAAGAAACTGGAGCTCAAGAGGTTAAGTAATTTATAATTAAAGTAACAGTTGATCAGGATCCTAAATCTAGAATTTTATTTTTACTTTATACCCCCTAGAATGTAGGTAAGAAAAATGTAAATAAATTTAATTCAAATTAATAGTCGAGAAAGTGTGACCTTGGACAAGTTATTCAGCTTCTCTGGGCATCAACTTCCTCCTTTTTAAAATGTAAAGTTGGACTGGCTAACTTCTAAGGTCCTTCTGAATTCTAAAAAGTCCATCTGCAAGCCACTATTTATCATTTTGAAATATTTCAAGTTTTGTGGTGTTTAAAGTTCTATCAATAATTCCTCTTGATGTATTTTTAAAGTAACAAATTTAATGTGATTTAAAATAAATCAAATATTCTTTACTAAAGAGCACACTTTACTTTTAATAAGGTATCAAAATTAAATTACCACCTAAAGTTCAGTAATGGAGCCATATTAATTACAATGAAATAGGAATAAAACAACAGAAACAGTTAATTCATTTTCTAGATTATTCATGTATCTGAAAGCATATTTCTATAAAACTAACTCTATGATTACAAAATCTAAAAGTACAGCATTTGGAAAAGTTATCATACAGGATGCATTTTTTTTTTATTTTTTGGTTTTTAGGCAATGGGGTTAAGTGACTTGCCTAGGGTCACACAGCTAGTAAGTATTATGTGTCTGAGGTCGCATTTGAACTCAGGTCCTCCTGAAACCAGGGTTGGTGCTCTATCCACTGTGTCACCTGGCTGCCCCAGATGCATTATTTAAATCATAAAATGCTTCTTTTTACTTTTAAACAGTAGCTACAATATAAAATATGTTCCTCTTGTAAGTATTCGTAATTTCATTCATGTCTGTATACTTTTCACCAACTCTGATGCAAAATCCCTTGTAATAGTAAGTAATATAAGTAATAGTAGCAGTCTCACAAATTGTTATGGCCCAAACACTAATAACATGGAAATGACCCTTTTTATACTCCTGTGGTCTGTTCCCTGGAAAAAGACAAAGTTCATTTGCCGAAAGCCTTTCTAGTTTGGTATGACTTCCAATAGTTTGGCAGAAACTTTGACAAAACTTAGGATCCCCTCCATGCCTAGCTTAGGGAGGTATCTGATGAGGATACTGGTGGAAGAAAGGTATAAAACTATCCCAAATTGCTTATAAAACACAAGATCAGATTCAGCTTCAATTGCCAAGGGATAATTTGTAACTATGCCATGCATTAGAGAGAAATTCTTAATGTAATGGGATAAGTAAAAGTCTGCAGCTGTAACTTTGAATATTTTATAAAATTAGTCACAGAGCCTGGTAAACCCTTATAAAATCTAATATGCAAAAAGGAACCATAGCATTATAGTAGTGTTTCACTAATTTAAATAAATTTAAATTTGTCTTCCTTAAAAACCAAGTAGAAAGAAACCTGAAAAAACCAGCAATAAAAATTTCGATAGTTCAAAAAGAACCAGGAAAAGCATGACTACCCCTATTTGAAAAAAGTTGTGCAGGTCAAAAGAATAGATTAGAAAATCTTGCTTCTAATCAAATGTCTCTAAGATATTTTTGAATATTATAAATAGGGAGAAGACTAGATCATAGACTTAAGTGCAAAGTCATTAGATTTAGAGTTGGTAGGGACCTAAGAGATTAGCTAAGTTGATCTCATTTTATAGCTAATGGAAGTGAAACATAGCAAGGAAAGAGGCATCAGAGTTGGGATTTGAACCTAGCTCCTCTGGCTCTAAATATAGTACTCTTTCTCCTACAGTATAATGCACAAAGAAGAAATTCTTTAAATTAGGAAATGTGGCTTTTTTTAAATCAAGGAATGTGGTTATTCATTTAATACTATCATAGTTTTGAAATCATTAAAATTTCAGGTTACTCAAATGTAAATGGACAGGCATATGGTCTGCATGAGTAGACCAAGCATTGCCAACTAAGAATTGATACAAGTGACATAAATTATGTCATCAGAGAAATATGTGATTAGACAGGTGGGCCAGTCATCACAAAAGAGCTATAGATAACCAGTGGTCAGCTTGTCTGCTTAACCAGTATCTACAGGATGTCAAGAGAATTATAGGATAGCTCTCAGGTTGCTAGGCTCCCACTGGAGGATTTGTGGATAAAGATGGACAAGAGGAACCCAAGGTAAGAAGATGATGTGGGTCATTGCAAGGAATGTTCAAATGGATGAGATCGTATATCCATTTAAGTACTGAAGTATAATGGTTCTGATTTTTAAAAAGCATGAATCTTTTCATTTTTCTTTTAGTATTCCTTTTATTCATTGTTAATTTTTTTCTTTAACTCCCAAATTCCACAAAAGTTAAAACATAACAAGCAAATATTTTCAGAATATCAAAGAGTCAGAGAACCACTTTGCAACTATGTATTATGGGCTGGCTATGGGCAGGTTATGTTCTTTAGGTCTTGAAACATTTAAATCTTAGAATTTAGGACTAACAGGGATCTTAGAGATCATGTAGTTCAGCTTCTTCATCTTAAAAATAGGGATACTGACATCCAGGGTGAGGAAGGGACTTGTTTAAGGTCCAATAGGTAATAGATAGCTAGGCTAGAACTCAAATCCCAGTCTTCTAACTTTAAAACTTCAAATCCACTGTTCTTTCCATTACACCATGGCAAATCTCTCGTAGAGCTCTTCTGCACATTGTCCATCACACAACACAACTCTTAATAGTTCTGTTGCATAAAGGCAAGAAATCATTTTATGGAAGAATCTGATGATAATGCCTAGTTCTACTAAAGTAATCTGAAATTGCTGAGTATGGAAATTAAGCTTGTTTCGAACTCTCTTAATGTTGCTACTTGGGCATATGTAGCTATTACTCTACCAAGGAACTAAATTAAAAAGAGACCAACAGCTTCCCTCCCATCCTCAACATCATCACTTCCAAATACTCACTTTCACTCTTCCTAAGGAATCTATTAGCTTTGGTCTTTCTATTTTCACAAATTATTTTACAAGCCATTTTACTTTCTGACTTCTCTCTTTCATCTTTATAAATTCAGAGATAGCAATTACAGCCCTCTGAGGCCTGCTTAGAATTTTACTATCCTGATGTCCTGCCCCCCACTGGATGAATGAAATGAAATCATGTGACCACCTACCCACACACCTTGGCAGAGGTGCACTCCACACACGACGTCCCCCACCCAGGCAGGTAAGCTTAGTTGCACCTTCCAAACGATATCCAGAGAAGCACGAAAAGGTCAGAGAATCCCCAACTCCAAAGTGAAAACCAATTCTTCGGCTGAAAGCAGGAACACCTGGATCATCACATGGTTCCAAATCATATTCTGGTTCAAGAAGAGAAGTAGAAAATGTATGGGAAAAGGGAGCAAAAACTTACAGTAATCAGAAAAAATACCTAAATACTTTCAGAAAGAGAAAATTTCAGAACTCAGTCCATAAAATCTATTTGAACTGAGTCTATAATACCTATGTTTATTGTTCAACATGAGATTTGACTGAAATATTGGGATTTTTTTTCTTAAACAAACAACAAAGTTTTGTTCAGAGAGGCAGCAAGAAAGCAAGCTTCAAAGCAGGGATGATATGGGTTCAAGTCAGGTTTCTAATGTATATTAACTGTGGGACTCTGGGGCAAGTCACTTAATCTCTTGATGCCCTAGGCAATTATCCTAAAACCTTATAAATTTCTCTGTAGTTCCTGATATGCCTTGGTAACCTCAGTTTCCTCTCGGGAAGCCTTTTTGTTATTGCAAAGAAATCAGAAGTCCAGTCCAAGCCCCTTATCTTCCCCTAAACCTAGCCAAGAAAGACTACATCAAAGGAGTTTTTACCTTAGGGGTTTCACACTTATTCAAGCAATGCTGCCCTGTGTTCCTCTGAGAACTGCTCTCAAAATTATAAAAGATTGACATGGTGAAAACACTGGATTTGCCATCAAAATACCTGGTTCACTTCACATATGTTTCCCCTTATGAAAAATGAGGGATTTGGATAATTAATAAACATTTATAAAGTACCTATTATGTGCCAGGTACTGTGCTAAGTGCTGGGGGTACAAAAAGAGGCAAAAGACATGGTTTCCACTGTCTCCAACTTTAAATCCTGTGACAGTCAAGGAAAATTAGTCCGATGCAGTATCATAAGAAGCACATAGATAAATCAAGTTTCATTACTGCAAAGTCTCCAAGCATCTTGAAAATACATTTCATTTCCCCAAAACATTTAAAGGGTTTTTTTTTTGCTATTTTTCACGTATAAAACATATTTTAGCATGATGTGATGATGAGCAGACAACCTGTAAAAGAGTTACCTTCTAAAGGTATGTCTCAAGAAGTATTCAACATCTTGGTACAGGTGTCTTAATACAGGCTCCAGAGATTCCAAATAATAAAGTCTCAGTACAGGGAAAGGAAGTAATCTCCCTTAGATCCCATTTATGCTGCAGGGGAGAAACCAGGGGAAGGGGAAGACAGAGCTCTGGGGTCCTAGATTGGAGTTAGGTGACCAACCTGAGTTGAAGCAGAATGGGTTTTTAATAGCGTACTTATGTGGCAGAGTTTGGAACTGAGATCGTAGGTTAAAGTTCAAGACAAATATTGACTCTTGCTTTCAGGGAGGAGTGGAATGCAAGGGGAAACTGACAGCTATTCAAACTCCCCAAAATGGGGGAAAGGGGATTTGGATCATAACTGCTTGTCTTTGTAACTAGGGGCCTTGTTTTTATTTTTAGAGCTGCTCAAAGCTCCCGTTTTTAAGAGAGGCTATGGGATTCCCTTATAAGAGATAGTACATGATTGCATGATAATGGAATTATTATTTGACTACCTTATGTGACTATAGACAATTAATCTCTTAAACCTCAGTTTTTTCTTCTGTATTTTTACCCCCAATACCTACCTCACAGGCTCATGGTAGATAAAGTATCTTAGACTTTGAATCTCTAGGGAAAAGCAAATTATGTTTTATTACCTTTGGAGGTGAGTAGCTTAACAAAAAGCTCAGAGAATATACTATAATCTCCACTCTTTGAACAAGTGTTCCCTCCAGCTTTAGCAATGATCTTTTAGATAATGCTGATCTTCACTTTTACTTCACAATTTTTAAGTACTTATATATGGGGTGACACAGTGCATAGATTGTTGGACTTTGAATAAGGAAGACCTGAGTTCAAATTCTGTCTCAGATACTAATTAGCTTTATTAGTTTGGGCAAGTCATTTTAACTTCTCTCAACCTCAGTTTCTCCATTTGTAAAATGAGATTATACTGGCTCCTACCTCCCAGGATTCTTGTGAATATCAAATGGGATAGCATTTGCAAATCTTAAAGCCTAATAAAATGCCACCTACTATTTATTGATAGCATAGTAGAATCCCATTATAATATGGTTCTTCCCTATACTGGAGGGCCCTCTTTCCTCCAACTATTTTGCTGCATGGACCTTTGACTATGGCCTGAAGGACTTAACCCTTTTATGTAAATAATTTACAACCTCAAGGGAAACCCCATATGTGGATGCCTCAGAAAGGAGCCCATTGTATTTGGCAAGGCAGCCCTCAGCTGTTCTTTACAACCTGATCCTTTCCTAGCGAGCTACCTTTCCCTTCTCACTCCCATTCTCTACTATTTTCCAATTCTAAAACAATAATCAAATCATTATTGGCATTGCCATTGGAAAAAGGCGTGTCAATCTACTTTGTTGTAACTTTCCAAAACACAGTTAAGTGGCACAGTGGATAGAGCACTGGACCTGGAGTCAGAGACACCTGAGTCCAAATTCAGAATCAGCCACTTAAGCTGAAGCAAGTCATACAATTTCTGTTTCCTTAACTGTAAAATGGGGATAATAATAGCACTTACTTCTTAGAGCTGTTATGAGGATTAAACGAGATAATATTTGTAAAGCACTTAGTGCAGTACCTGGCATGTAGTAGGTACTATATAAATACTATTATTATTATTTATTACCTCTTCTTAGCTACCATTCTTCTTCATGTGTTTTCTCCCCCATTAGAATGTGAGCCCTCAGAGAATTTAGACAACTTTTGTTTTTGTATCTGAATCTCTGGAGCTTATCACAATGTTTGGTGTACACTAAACAATTATTTTTTTTTCATTCATTCAGAATTATATAAATTTAGATATACTCTAATCCAATTTGTGTACTCTGAAAAAATGTATATAGAAAAAATAAATTTGATATAATATCTATCTGGATGAAGTGTGCATTAGTGTTGTATAACATCAGAGTTATGAAGAAGATTCTACTGGATATATTTACACACACACATATTATACAGGTGTATCCAAAAAGTCTTGGTCAATTTAAAACTGAAAACTTCTCTAAGACTTTTGTGACAGCATGTATGTATGTGTGTATAATATGAACGTGCTTTCCTTTTACCCTCTCCACTTTATCTCTTCCTTTTTAATGTGTTATATATTGCAAAATAGATTTAAACCTCTTAAGGATGGCAGGGTCTTTTAGAAAAAAAAAAGCTCTGTTATTAACACACTCAGCAAACTGTAGCATTCAACAACTGCTGACTATTCTTTGGTGAAAATTGATAAGAATGTATCAAGTATAAAGTATTATACTATACAAGGAATTGAACAATTGACATAGAATTGCATAAAGATCAATAAAACCTCATTAATTTAAACTCTGCTAAATAAAAACACTTGGCAGGCCTGGGATGAAATCCATAGACTAATACAACTAAAGCCAGAAGGACTTTAGAGAATATCTAACTTCAAACACATGATCCTCTCATGCTATACTAGTATAGTCTTGCCCAATCACATTTTTCAATCGATGAAGAAATTAAAGGCTAAAAGACATTAAGCAGTACGTCCAAAGTCACAAAGGTAGTATCATAGCTGGGATTCAAACATACTGTTGTGATGCTATTTAATCACATAATGTTTTTCCCTCCCCCCTTTACAAAACTGCATGCTAAATAAGACCTGTTGAAGGAATTATAACCAAGAACCTAGACAGACAAGCTATGCAAACTAGAAGGTGTCCATATATTTGAAAACAATTGATGTTACATATAGTCTGCATTTACTTGACTCTGCTTTCCAGATCATAGATCTAGAGCTGGAAGGTCGCCCAACACCCTCATTTTATAGAAAGATAAAGCTAGGGGCAGCTAGGTGGCGCAGTGGATAGCGCAATGGCCCTGGAGTCAGGAGGACCTGAGTTCAAATTCGGCCTCTGACACATAACACTCACTAGCTGTGTGACCCTGGGCAAGTCACTTAACCCCATTGCCTAGCCAAAAAAAAAAAAAAGAATAAGGCCCAGGGAGGTTGTGACTGAACCAGGCTCAAACAGGTAGTATAAGAATTAGGATTTGAACCCAGGTCCTTAGATTCCAGACCAGTGTTCTTTCCATTGTGTCACAATGACTATGATCTCTTTGAGGAAGACACCCTCTCTGGAGGAAGGGAAGGGAATCGATGTTATTATGATCCCATTTTACAGTTGAGGAAGCTCAGGCAGTTAGCAGTTATGTGACTTGTCCAGGGTCACATAGCTAGAAAGTATTTGAGGCTGGATTTGAACTCAGGTCTTCCTAACTCAAGTTCTAAAGCTCTAGTCCCACAATTTTTAGCCCTGGATAATTTCTTGGGGCATTAAGAGATTAAGTGATTTGCCTAAAAATGATCATTTATGTTAGAAGTGTGACTTGAACCCTGCCTCTGTGGCCAGCTATTCAGTATGCAAACTACTTCTGACAATTTGTGTCTATTAATTAATAAAGTGGTTCTACTTATAGTTAAATTTTGTAGACTTAACTATTAAAATAACTTTTAGATACTTTAAAAATTAAATAATCAATAATTATTTCCTGATCATTCAGATTTCTTCTTCCCAATTAATCCAAATCATTGTTATAAAAATACCTTGATTCTCATGTTGTTTCTGAGAAACAATGTAATGCATATACAGGGTCCTAAGACCTTGATATTTAGAGCTGGAACAACTCTAAACCAACAAGATCTAATTTAATTCCTCCATGTAAGGTTGAGGAAATTGAGCTCCAAAGAGTTTTAATGATTTGCCAAGGGTTCCATAAGTTGTAAGTGCAAAGCAAAAACTAGGGCTCTGTTTTTCTGATTCCAAATACGGTACCATTTATACTATACCATGGTTATAATAAAGAGTCTTACAAAAGCAACAAAAGCTCTGTTTTTTTTTTAACCAATATTGAACAGGTAAGGAAAAAAAGAACATTCCATCATTAAACAAATGGCAAATATTTTCCATCTCAAGATCGCCTCACTCATCTGAACTCAAATTTAAAAATACTAAGCATAGAGTTAAAAGAATCAGATTCATTGGGTTATAGAATTTAAAGCTAGATGTCACCTCAGAAATAATTTTATTACAGAATTTCAGAGCTTAAAGGGACAAAGAGGCTATTTAGTCCTGCTTGTGTCTGAATAGGGATCATCTCTCTGCACTCTGCTGCCAGTGGTCCTCTAAAACACTTTTTCCTGAAAACCACTATTTATTTTTATGGCAGCCCATTCCATTTTTGATAGTTTTAATTCCGAAGTTTTTTTTTCTTTTTCCCCTTATGTTAAACCTAAATCTAACCATCTGCCTTCTATAACTAAAACAGAAGAAATCTGAACCCTCTTCCATATGACAATCCTTCAAAATTCAAAAAAGGACTGCATGAGTGGTTTCTTTCCTGATTTCTCAAATATCTAAAGAAATTAGGAGCCTCTGGGTCACCACTTCACTTTAAGCCAACACAACCATCTGGTGGTAACTACTATAAATTTCAGACTTTAAGTCTCAGAGATATATTGAAACCTCATGGGTCACAGGATACCAAACTCAGCCCTATAAAAAATTGCACAGGTAGCACATGCTGTTACTACTTTCTCTAACATCTATCATGTTGGCTTTCTATGTCCCAAAAGCTGTTCTGGCTCTTAGCAAGCCCAAATTATTATTTTCAATAAAAATTACTCATTTTGACAAAGTGCATTCTATTTGAGATTGTGAAAAGTGAACGAGCAGTTTGGAAAAAAGAACTCTAACAGAGTATAATATCACTCATTATACTGTCATTATGCTTTAATTTACTGTTGGTGGTCTACTACTTGCATTCAGAGTTCTGTTGTTGGAAACACTGTGGACATTATTGCTAAAAAGGCTTTTCTTCTAATTGTATTTCCATTTAAGATTTCATTTCCTATGCTTTCTCATAGTTCACTCTGAGTATCTATGCAACTACAAAGTTTTCCAAAGCATATGGAGGAATTTTTTTTTCTTTTGCATCCAAGCACAGGGGACTTTTACAACATTTGATTAACTGAAACCAAAAAATCACAACAATCTATCAGTAAATAACTATATCATTCACTGCTAAACATTGTCATAATCAGGGAAAACAGGATTTAAAAAAATTAACTCTACATTGTGTAACTCTGGTAAACTTAACCTCTATATGCTTCAGGTTCCTCATCTGTAAAATCTCACAGGGTTTTTGTGAAGATCAAATGAGATAACATTTGTAATACAATTTGCAAACCTTGAAGTACCACATAAATGCTAGCTATTTATTTATTCCTCTGTTTTTAATTTGTCATTATTATTACACCTGAGAGACCAAAGTTATTTTTTTTCTCCAAGATGTTTTCTTTTATTAGTTATAAAATAAGGAAAGAGATAGAAGATTTGATCCTTGCTCTCTGTTACCATCTAGTTAAATAACAAAGAACATGCACAAAGGACAACTGAAGAACACATTTCCAAAGCAATATATCAGAGAATGCAAATTAAATTATCACAAGGTATGTAGAACATAAGATCTAGAAGGAATTTTCAAGGCTTATAGGCTAACCAGCTCATTTCATGAATAAGGAAATTAGTTATAACTACAGCATAGCACTGAGTTCTAAATTCCAAGCAGTCATGATTGTTACTTTATTTAGTCTCCTTCTCTTGGACTCCCTCTAAAAAAAACAACAACAATAAAAAACCCAACGACTTCCATTTATTTGACATATATTTTATATTTACTGTTATATGTAAATACATTGCTATTTTTCTCATACAGTGTGATGAGAAGGGATATTTCATGTTTGTTTTTATATCCCTATCACCCCACATAGTCACTGGTACAGTGTTGGTGTTTTATAAATTCTTACTTATAGATAGGTTAACATCTCAGAGAGACCACTATCTAGGCTTTCATTGTTCAGTGCTTCACTGACAGGGAGCTCACTATCTCAAATACATTCCATTGTAGGGCACTTCTAATGGTTAAGAATTGTTCTATAAAATTGTCTTAAATAATTGTATTACATAACTAATCACCTCAGTTACTAACATTATCTTACTCTTAAAATTACTTTGATTTTTTTTTGTTTTTACTTACATATGTCATAACTCAGCCCTCTCCTACCTTTCCAGTTTTCTTTTACCTTACCTCCCTGAAATGTACTCTTTCTTCCAGTGACACTGGTCTCCTGGCTATTTCACAAACAAGATACTCCTCTCTCATCTCCAATAATTTTCTCAGTCTGTCCTCCATGCCTGAAACATTCTCCCTCCTTAGTCCCAACTACTGATCACGCTGACATCCTCTAAGTACCAACTAAAGTCAAACCTTCTATAGGAAGGCTTCTCTAATCCCTCTTAATTCTAGTGCTTTCCCTCTTTTAATTTTTCCTATTTAATCTGTCTATAGCTTTCTTTGTTCATACAAATATATATGTACATACATTTATATGCATTTATACATACACATATATACATATATACACACATATGTACATATGTCTTTATGACTTTGCATGTTGTCTCTCTCATTAGATTGTAGGGTTCTTGAGTGCAGGGACTGTCTCTTTTTGTATTCCTAGCACTTGGCATAGTGCCTGGTACATTGTAGGAGCTTAATTAATATTTATTAATTGATTGCCTGACTGTACCTCTCAGTACCTAGCCTATGATGCCTCATGCACAATAGGAACTTTGAGTAAATTCAATCCTCTTACTCTAAATCCAATGTTCCGTCTGTTTCTAGCAGTAGCTACCAGTATTCTATGCCTATACTTATCACCTTAATTTTTGTCTTTTCAACTTCAATTATCCCCAGGGATGACAACCACAAGACCTCAGGGCCAAAGGTTGATAGAGAGAACAATTCACCGTACCTGAAAATGTGATATTGAAGCCTTCATAAGAAATTGAGAAATCTGATATAAACCGAAGTTGTGCAGTGAAGTTTCCAAATAGACCAGCTTTAATTGTATGAGGTAGCACAGAACCAGTAAGCCTGGCAACAGGCTCTGTGAAACTTCCATCTTCTGTAATCAGCAGGTAATCATGAGAGCTCTCAAGGTGAAAAGTGTGAAAAATCATTTGAACACCTTTAAGGACCAAAGGAAATAAAAGATAGAGAGAAGTCAAGGAACAAACATTGGACATTGCTTTCACCTCATTGTAGCATAGTCCTTTTCACGTGTGCACTCACACAGGCTTACACATATATGCACACTTGTCTACATATATACTGTTTGCTCTCAGTAGAATGAAAGCTCCTTGAGAGTAGAGAATATTTCATTTTTGTTTTTGTTTCTCTACAGCCTAGTAAAGCATTTGACACATAGTAGGTAATTAATAAATATTTATTTAACTAACTGAGTTCCTGCCTGCTTATATCTAGACTGTAGAATGAACATCACAGCTTGCCGTACAAAAAACAAAAATTGGGGTAAAAACTCTAGCTGGGAAAATTATGATTATAATTATTCCTGTTGTTCAATCATTTCAGTTGTGTCTGACTCTTTGTGACCCCACTTGGGGTTTTCTTGGCAAAGATAACTGGAGTGGTTTGCCATTTCCTTCTGCTGCTCATTTTATAGATGAGGAAAGTGGGGCAAACAGGGTTAAATGACTTCCTCAGAGTCACACAAGTAGGAAGTGTCTGAAGCCAGATTTGAACTCAGGAAGAAGAGTCTTCCTGATTCTATGCCCAATACACATAGCTGCTCAATGATTGCTTTGAAATTGTATTTATCAATTTATTTATTCTTCTTAAATGCTTTCTTGACATTTTTTTATTCAAAATTCTACTGCCACTAGTACAGACTCCCTTTTTCTCTCTGCCTCCAACAAAACCAGACTCTTGTAACAAATAAACAAATAAAAATAAATCAACTCATTCACCATATCAAAAAATGTAAGCCCCATTCTACACCTATAGTTCACCACCTCTCGTTAAGAAGAGGAAGACATTAGGCAGCTAGGTGGAGCAGTGGAAGGAGCACCGGCCCTGAAATCAGGAGGACCTGAGTTCAAATCCAGCCTCAGACACTTGACACTTACTAGCTGTGTGACCCTGGGCAAGTCGCTTAACCCCAATTGCCTAAAAAAATAAAAATAAGAAGAGGAAGACATGTTTGACTACATGGGAAGATTCTAGCTGGTAGACTGAATTAAATATTAATTTGGAAGTTTTCATAAGCTTATAGAAATGCACTTGAGAACTCTTTAAAACATATTAAGAAACAACAGACAACTTCCACTTCCTTTTAAGCCCTCAGAACCAAAGCTGTCAGATTGTAGCATTGGGAAATCAGATTGGCTTCTCATTAGCTGATTCATTAGCATAATACAGGAAATTTGAAAGAAAAATTTAGCATATTGTGTTACTATCCTGAGATTATTCCTATTCCCAATATAACCAAACCAATCAAACATTTATTAAACACTTACTAAAAGGAAGGCATTCTGTAAGGCACTGACAGATAGATACAAAGACAAAATTAAAAAAAAAAAAAGCCTGCCTCTCCGCCTTGTCCCATCCTCTCCCTTTCCCAATCTTTTTCATGCTAGTCATGATCAATATCTATGCCAGTGATGCAAAGGGTACTGTTTCTGCTCATAGGGTAAACAAACCTTTCACAGTACCCTCCCTTTTACAGTGGAAAAAATAACACTGCCATCAATCTTTGCCAAATGCCCTCCCTTTCCGATTGGTCTGGATAGGTTCAACAACTATGTTGGTATTATTTTCTTACTCTGAAAGAAACATATTCTAATGAATAGTTCCTTTGGCTATTAGAGTAACTTCTGGGATTCAGAAATGAAATATTACTTTACTATGTAAAAGTAAACTTGAAGGTTCAGGAATCAGGAAAAGGCAACACTATATTTATTGTAGTGATTGATTGTGAGAAAAATTTCCACATTTCAAAAGTCAATCTTATCTATGGGAGTCAAGAATTGTGGAAGGATGTTCAAAAATGGAACATATCAGTGGCTCCTCAGAAAAGTTCATTTTTCAAGAAGCTAAAATCATAAGTCACCTGGCTTTACACAGACCAACAAAATAATATAATTTTAAATATTTTGCTGTGTGAGGACATTTAAATTCCCAGGAGGAACAGAGGAGCGATAAAAGTCAAAACGGGACACAAGTGTCCTTTTTGATTTCTACTCAAGACAATCTAAGGATGCCCTTTTTGAAACTTCTCCTTGGGGCACCAAAGTTTAAATTCATATAACTGAATGCATGACCATTTAAAAAGCCTACTTTCAGTTGTTATATGTGAAAGATATCTGTGTGCTTTTTCTATAATAAAGTAAAATTATATTTTAATATTTCATATGTATGCATACTATGTAATAACAGTTTTTTTAACTAAACAAAAAGGTGGAGAAATTAGAATATTGCAACTTTAAAAATTGGAGCTTTTTTATCTTTATATATTTATCTCAATATTTCTGCATAGTTTTTATTCTCCTTGAGGGGATATTCACCCTTCAATATGTATCCATTATAGCATAATGTAACCCTGAGGATCTTTTTGACAGCTATTAATTTTTTTTTCAAAATCAGGAGAATTTTTAAGGCTATTCCTTTATGACCTTCTCTCAGAAGGGACAACAGCTCTTGGACTGCTGTGTTATGGCAAGATTTTTAGTTGACACTTCTCTATTTAATTCAATTCAACTCAAATATATGAAGGACTAACACTATGAAAGGCAATGTGCTAGATATTATTTAGCTCTGCTGAATGTAGATATTGTATTATTCTTTAATTAACCATCATACCTATTTCTTTACTGCCCCATTTCTATTTTCCTTTCCATTTTAGTGAGGTAGATTTCCTTTCTTTAGTCTTTCTTACTAATTTCCATGAATCTCAGCTATCTGACAACTTTGGAACAAAGTGATGTATCCACTCTTTCTTCAGGCACTGATCATTTAAGGAGTAACACACACCCCCCCCCCCCAAGCTTCAGCAAACAAAGCTTAAACACCAAAGCAAAGCTATTAACAGTGAGGGAAATATATTTATTAGAGGAAATAAATGAAGTGCCTCCTTATTTCACATATTAACAAATGCTTTTTTTCATTTTGCCCTCAGCATGTTTTCATCTTGTACATGGTTTTGTTAATATATTTGCAATACATTATTTCATTCTTACCCTTTCCATGAGATACTTCAATAGTCCAAGTACAATTTAGAGAGTTTGGATAGAAATCAGGAAATCCTGGTGAAAGTACAGTTCCACTCTTCCCATGAATGTAGCCTCCACACAGAGCTGAATGTAAGAAAGCAAAAACATCAGTCAGTTGGAGCTTTATAGCTAGTTACAGTAGATGGAACTTTAAGAATGTTTTCCAGCTTGCCAAAATGTTAAAAATAGTGATCTAATGTTACCTTAGGGCCAAAAGATGACAAATCAATTTTACTTATATTGGCTTTTAACAACACACCAACTTATTCAGGAATAGCCTGAATGGCTACACAAGACACAGAACACAAACAGAGAAAAAGCTGTGAACCTGAGCCCAAATTAAAATTCATACATGTCTATGCAAATTACATTGGTCAGAATGTAGTTTCCGGAGAAGCTGGTTTCTGTGGTAACCCTCTCAGTAAGAGAAGAGTGACCTATAATAAAATATATCATGTGGAATATGGGCTGATAAAAAGTCTAATTTTAGCAGACAAAGAAGAGGAATACAACTGTGAGAGATTTAAATATCATTACAATTTATTGAGTACTGCAATTTTAAGATGCTAATATATGTATACAAAGTAAATAATTTGTAATTTTCTTAAAATACTTGAAATTTTCCAGACTCCAAAACCAGACAAAAATAGGACATCTCTCAGTGTTATATATTTCTCTTTTAAATCAAATCATTTAAATTCACAATGAAGAAATGTTAGACACATCATTTGAAAAATACAAGTGTCATGTAATGCAATTGTTGTTCAGTTGTTTTTCAGTCATCTAACTCTTTGTGATCCCATTTGGGGTTTTCTTGGCAAAGTCATTGGAGTGGTTTGCTATTTCCTTCTCCTGATAATTTTACAGATGATGAAACTGAGGCAAATAGAGTTAAATGATTTCCCCAGGGTCACTCACACAGCTGGTAAATGTCCGAGGCCAGAGTCTTCTTGACTAAGCCCAACACTCTATCCACTGTGCCACCTAACTGCCTTGCAGTAATGGAGTAGATAAGTGTAATGGAGAGATTGTTTCACTTTTGTCATTGCATACTGAGAAAGTGCCATAGTACCTCAAAAATAGTAGCTACTTAATAAATGTTTCTTGATTGATGACAATGCTCTCTTCTGGTTCTCCTCCTTACCTGTCTGACCTCAGTCCCTTTTGGTGGATCTTTATCTAGATTGTGTCTGTTATTTCTGGGTATCACTCTCCCAGTGATATGACCTAAGCCCTCTTTTCTTCTTCCTCCCTACTATTTCACTTGGTGCTCTTGTCAGCTCCCATGGATTCAGTGATTATTTCTATATAGATAATTTTCAAATATATTTATCTAGTCCTAGACTCTCTCCCAAGACTTCCAGTCTTGCCTTTCCAATTGTCTATTAGACAACTGGAACTGGAAATACTATAGTCTTAAACTCAACACGTGCATACTGAACTCATTATTTCCCCCCAAGCACTTCTCCTCCCCTTTATAACATTCCTACTAATGTTGAGGGCATCATCATCTTTTCCACTTATCCAGGCACACAATCTAGATATCTCCTCAATTCCTCACTCTCTTTCATGATGCCTATTTAATCAGTTGTAAAACCCTGTGTATTTTACCTTCATAACATCTCCATTATATAGACCTTTGTCTCTTCTGACATTGCAATTAACCTAGTGCAAACCCTCATCACCTCACCTCAGGATTATTGCAATAACCTGCTGGTTAATAATATTCCTGCTTCAAGTCTTACCCCAATCCAGTCCATCATCCATTCAGCTACCAAAGTGATCTTCCTAAAGCCCAAATCTGATCGTGTCACTCCTAACCCTAATAAACTCTAGTGATTTCCTATTTCCATCAGAATCAAATACAGAGTCTTCTATTTGACTTTTAAAACCCTTCATAACTTGTCTCCTTCCTGTTTTCCTATTCCTATACCTACTCATATCCATGTATTTTATAATCCAGTCTCACTGGCCTCCTTGCTGTTCCTTGCAAAACATATCTCCTATCCTATACACTTTCACTGACTGTCCTATATGCCTGGAATGCTCTCTCTTTCTCTTCATCTCCAGCTCCTACCTTCATTGGCTTCCTTCAGATCTTAACTAAAATCCTACATTCTGCAAGAAGACTTTCCAACCTCTCTTAATGCTAATGCCTTCTCTTTTTTGATTATCTCCAATTCATTCTTTATATCTTGTTTGTACACAGTTGTTTACATGGTATCTACCACAGTAGATCACAAGTTTCTTGAGAGTAGGAGCTGGTGTTTTTATTTGTTGTTTGTTCGTTTTTTTCTTTTTCTTTTTGTATTAGCAGAGCTTAGCACAGGTCCTGGCAAATAGATGCTGCTTACTAAATAAAAATAAAAGTCAAATTTTACTTGACTTGATTGAATAAAAGAGCATTGAACTGGGACTCCAAGGTCTGGGATTTAGTATTCGTTATGCTAATAGTTGATAGTGTGACTTTGGGTAAAGCATTTCACCATTGTGGGCTTCAATTTTTTTTAACTATAAGATGAAGAATATGTACTAGGTAATCATTAAGGTCTTATCCTTTTCCAATTTTGGAAAGAGGTAAGGAAAAAAAAGTCCAGGATTCTATGACTTAATGAAGCTATACTTTTAGATTTCCTTTCTGAGTGTGGAGAAATGAATGGCTACTGAAAGAGATGCCATCTGGAAGATTTTCACATGATTTTCAACAGTGTGCATTGCATTTAGTAATCAGCATATCCAGGTCCATCACAAGTATTATTTAAATAAGATTTAGTTAATTCATGCATGAAATTATATAGTTATCCTCAATAAAGCTTATTTAGCTAGTCTAGGTTAACAAAAATGTGATTATAAACAAGTCTTTGGAATAACAAGCAAAAGCAAAGAAATTACATAAAATTCATCAGAACACAAAATATCCTCTATAATCCTAACCACTCATCAGTATCATCTCTTGAGATTTTTCTACTTTCAAATATTAGCAGCTATGTATTTTCTTCCAGGATGAGCAAAATTAATAATAAATTCAAAATTAGTAGCTATCATACCCCGATAACCTTTTATCTGTCCAGAATGAGATTCATATAAGCAGATGCCTTTGGAGTTTTACAATCCACTACTAGAGGATTAATATAAACAAAGGGAAGGTGCTCCGCAGGATAATTTCATGGAGAAGAATATCAGCTAGCAAATTATGAAGATTTTTCCCTTCTCAGACACTCACACCACAGATTTATCCATAGTGAGATGAGTTTGGATGTGCCTGAAATTGATTTTTAGAAAGTTATTAATTGATAGTCTTTTTTTTAATGTGCATGCTTTGTAGAGAAGCACCAGGCCAGGAGCCATAATAGCATTTCTAGGCAAATGTCCATGTTGTAAAACTGTTAAGTCAAAGAAGTAATAGGAAAGTCGAGATTCCAGTCTGCTATACTGATGTTTTTGGTAGTGGTGATTTGACCTGAGTAACCAAATTTCAATGGACTTGTGTCATCACCGTTTTATTAGTATATTTACTTACTCCCTACTCTCTAACCATCTGGACAACAGCATCCTCAATGCGCAGGTCAGAGATTACGCCCAGGAGCCTTGGTGTCCTAATTGTGAATGCTTCCCTTGGGATATTATTTAGGAAAAGCCTTAACCTTACTTTACTCCCCTCTGTTCTCTCTTTCCATCTTCTCCACAGCCTCATCTATAATCACCTGTCGGCTGCTTTCCCTTACTTTTCCTATCTACTCAGTTCTGGAACCATGAAAAATGATCAAATAGGCCCTGACCTTCCGGAGTGAGGTGTATTAATGTACTAATAGCACCACTCATACTCCTCAAAACTTTCTGAAGCAAAATTCCCCTTTCTGGCCACCTTTGCGTGTTGTTTCTTGTACTAGAATGTGAACTCCTTGAGGGCAGAGAATGTATTTATTTTGGTATTTGTATCTTCCCTAGTATTTAATACAGAGCTTGGCATGTAGTGAGTTCTTAATAATTGCTTTTCTCTACTTATCTCCCTACTTCCCTTCTCTTTTTTTGTTCCTTCCTTCCATCTCTCCTTCATTCCTTTCCTCCTCCCCTCCTTCCTTCCCTCCTTTCTTTCTAACATTTAAGGATCATGCCATGTTGACTTGTGATTGGAGCCTTTTTCTAAATAATGTACCATAATAATTAAACAAAAACTTTTCTTCAGGCCATTCAAAGCACATCTTATATTTATGCTATGTTTACCCCACTCCTGGTGCACTAATTTCTAAGCCATTGGGTATTCTATCAAACACACACACACACACACACACACACACACACACACACACACACACACACACATAGCAAAAGCTGCACTTGAAAATTGTTATAGTCATTTACTGTGGTCTTTCCTTATGGCAGTACAGACTGTTCAGGAAGTAGCATATTGTCCATTCCAATTGATGCAGAAGGATTAACTTCATTTCACATTATAGGCAAAATTGTCTTTAAGTGTGTTTTATATCCAAAAACGTAGACTCAGAGAAGAGAACACATCCACAAGGACAGGTACCTACCTTTCTTTTTCTTTATGTCACAAATACGAAAAGTTTTCCTTTTAGTTAAATGACATAATTGGTGAAAAGACAGGAATATTTTTGTGTGTTTATTTGTTTTCTCGGATAAATTAGGAAATAGGCAGTAGGGATATAGTTTGTTAGGCAGGAATGAAAAGTCTAGTATTTTCACTTCCAATCAATATTCTATATATTAAAACTGGTTTCTATGAGGACATTTCCTAGGGACAATCCAGTTAGGAGGGACACATATATATTTGTATGTAATTTGAATTTAATTTAGTTCTTCCTACACAGACTAGTCTATTCTAGGAAATTTTTCAAGGAACAGTTACATTTTGTGATTGTTATCCTTAAGGCTATAATTTCTCTTTTCTATTCCTAACATTCGCCTCCTCTCACTGACCCAGATCCCCTTCAGAAGAAGCCTCCAGCACAGAGGAGTAAAGCACATAGGATAGAGAAAGACAGGAAGGGAGCTGAGGGCATCTGGAAATTTTTGCAGAGCCAATTTGGAGAAGATTCTGATATTCAGGCAGTTGAAAA